TACAACAAAATTAGGTAAATGATATTTAAGAACTTAACGAAAAAACATTTGTTTTTAAATTTTAACACGCTGTATCTTGAGAATGAAGAATTTGCGGACCTATGTTTGTATGAACATTTTGTCTTAAAATTACTCAAAGAATCGTCTCTTAAATTTATCGTACATACTTAACTAACATCCTGTATACCAGTACATCAGTAAATATACGTTATGTACCCGTTTTCCTAATAGCTACCGAATTTGGTAGCGTTATCACGCCGTAAAGTTATTGGCAAAGGTGAAAAGTGCAGCATCGTGCGATATTAGATATTAGAAACCGAATTCGGAGAAACACTGTGTAGTAGCTAGGAGGTCCTGTCATTTGGGAGCCTTTATGTTTCATAAAAATCTTAATCAATTAACAGACCTGATAGGAGATAATTACTATATAGCTTGACCAAAACAGTACCTTAATTGACTCTAATTTTGACTTTGCTCAAAGCTCTCGGTTACTCATATGTTTTCGCGCTTTTATTACAATAATAAATGGCGATGCAATACAACGTATGAGTCTAATCCATCACTCAGATTTCAACGAAATCCATAAAGTAGCCACAAACCGTATAGGTTCCTTTAATCGCTTTGAAAATATACTATTTTGCCCCGCCACTGCTTTCGAACACCTACAGCAGTTGCTTTATCAGAAAGCTATTATTTACACATTTGGCAGGCACTCGCACTTCCTCAGTGTGAGATAAGGCTTTGTCGTTATATATTGTCGGCAAAAAACACAAACTTTACTCAAGTTTTCTCAACAAATACTTAGGTGCTCTGAACAATCGCAACCTTGTACTAACTTTCACTGCCTATGTAGTAAACAGCCCGGGGAGATTCTCGAATGGAGCAAATTAGAGAGACCCCGTAATCTACACCGTTTCAGAATGGATACGTAACTTTTGCATGGTTTTTCTTGATTGTGCTAGCTAGTGAGGGAAGTAACATCCTAGTAGATCAAAAATATAATTATTCTTCCTTCAATTGGTTTGGTCTGAAGATTTAGGAGTTATTCAAATTTGTCTATTACAGCTTTGCACCACCTGTACTACTATTGCATAAATGGGTGGTTTGAAATAGTTACGGGTCTTTTGACAATGAACACAACAATTTGGTGTGCCTACCCCTTTTAGGGAATAGAAGAAAATATCAGAAGAAAAATGTTAAACATTTTACCAGGCATAAAAGATAGTAAAGTGGAATCCACGTGTTTTAAACCATAAAAAGGTGATCAAAATATTTGTAGGCTACACATATACAGGGTGACTTTGAAGTTGAGTCATTAATTTTCAGATAATGATTGTAGAAGGAAGATAAACCAAAATATGTGTGTAAAAATAAAAAAAAAATTAAAAAAAAAATTTACCCTGTTTTATAAAGTATCCTCCCGACAAGTATTTCAGTGCGGACCTGTATTTGATCGTGAGGTCTTGGAGCACCGGCATGCCGTTCCCTGTGAGGTCTTAAGTCGCCTGATTCACGAGCCCGTTGTACTACATTAACAAAGGCACGAGGGGTTGGTTGCACTCGATTGGGAAACCAATCCGCATAAACATGTGCCATTTTTGATTTCGTTTGAGCCACGCAACAGACACCACTATTCACTCACGCATTACCGACTGACACTGACTGTATACAACTGAATAAAATAATTGTAAAAACATCGTTCCAAATTCTTTCGCTTTTTTGTTTCCGATGCGATGAACCGATAAGGCGGATTATATCCGTTGTTGCCAAACACGAGCAAATAATATTATTATTGAGACAGGGCGGTACTCAAACTTCCAAAGGGCTATAACTTTGTTACTTTAATTTTACCAGAAAAATGGTAAAGGAAAAAAAACATTTCTTTTGATCAGATCTACTCACTGTTAAAATAAATGACTCAACTTCGAAGTCACCCTGTATATACTAAGTGACATATAAATCCGAACACCCAGTTTAAATGGCTTTATTTTAATAAAATTTTGTATAAGTACTTAATGAAGAATAATAAGTAAATGATAAAAATTTCAAAATGATTGCACTGCTTTAAAGCCCTTTGACCTTTAATAATGTGTGGATGCACCCTGATGTGCTACGCATTCTCCAACGCGCCTAGGCATGCTTCTGATCAGGTGGTCAATGTCCTCCTGTGGTATCTCATTCCAGGCAACCACCAACTCTTCTCGAAGTGCTTCTAAGAAAGAAGTCTATTGTGACTCTTGCAACATGTGGTCGGGCATTATCTTGTTGGAAAGTTGGATCTGCCAGGGTGTCAAGATAGGGCAAAAGATGGGGTTCTAGAACTTCGTGGATATAACGCTGCGCGTTCATGTTACCTCTGATGAAGATTAAAGGTGACCTGGAACCATAAGCTATAGCACCCCAAACCATAACTCCAACAGTGTGATGAACATGTCTTTCAACAAAAAACTGTGGATTCCTCCTTTCACCACGTCGCCTTCTAACCCTGGCACGACCATCGTGCATGTCTAGACAAAATCGAGACTCGTCACTAAAGACAATACTGTTCCATTCCTGATCCCAGAGTGACCGTTGTCTGCACCACTCAAGGCGATTACGTCGGTGTTCTCGAGTTAAAGGGAGGACCCAGTGTGGCCGGTATGAAAACAAGCCAAAACTTCTCATTCGTCGGTAAACACTTCGCATGCCAATAGGTCTTCCGTGTTCTGCAAACCATTCATTTGCAATGGACCTGGTAGTGGAGAAACGGTCCCTTAAGGCCAATAATCTTAGGCGGCGATCTTCACGGTCTGTTGTTCTACGGCGGCATCCAGTGCCTCTTGCTCTTTGCGTACGGCCTTCTCGAAGCCATGCCTGACAACACCTAACCACAGTGTCTACACTTCTTTGCACTCTAACTGCAATTGCCCGAAAAGAAAGTCCAGCTTCCCGAAGTCCCACTATAAAAATCATCTGAAGTGATTTGGCAACGTTTGGCACACGCCCACAATTCGTTCCATCTTTCAACACAGACATTGACAACCTTCGGCCTTCTGTCAAAGGGTTCATCTCACTCATTATTCCATGACCACTATTTTGTGCAATCATCAAGTGGCTTCACGATGTAATGCTCTAATGTTTTTTAAATAATTTTTAATCTGTTTCTAACTTGTTCTTGTCATATTTTATATATTTTTGACCATTGTACCATCTATCCAGCTCTCACCATGTTACTGGACGTTTCCCTCATCCTATACGTAAACAACAATTAGCAACATCCTCACATACTACTGTAAGTTGAGTCAATTTAAATTCATTTTACACTTTTGTTGCTACTGTTATCATTGTAATTGCAGCTCCTGATGATGATGGCAAAGTCCATTGAAAGCTAGAGAGAATTAAAAAAAGTATAAAGAGTCTTCTTTGCTTAAATTTTGTCGAAGTACCCAACAAAAGGCGGAAGCTTTAATTTTTCACCTAACTGGTCTAGACGACAATGACCACGTCTCAAGTTATATATATATATATATATATATAACTTTTTTGTTTCTAGAGATAATGACACAAAGTAAACGTGAGTCTATTCTGTAATGCATACTCAATCAGATCAGATAAACAGGTCGTGCAAATATTCTCAAACAAAATACTTATGACCTTTCAAACCTAAATTTAATCGCAAAACTTCTGCGACTTATTGCCTTTCAGACTCACGTTTATTTTGTGTCATTATCTGTAGACATAAAAAAGTTATAACGACATGCATGCGCAATTTTAGATAATTCAGCCAAAAAACGAAAAACGATCATATCTAGGTAACAGCCTTTAAAGCATTGCGGTACCCCAATCGCCCAAAAAATTTTGTAGGTTCATTTACCAAACACCCTGTATACGTAATAACATTGTACATTAGTAAGGTGCATGCTCATTGAGAGGAAAAGAAACGAGGAAGTGGGTAGCGAAACTCTTCCGATGGGATCCTTTACACATCATGCGACATGTCACGTTTGACGAGTCCATGACAAATGTAGCCGCGGTTTCATTCGCGTCACTTGGGTGTACATGTTAGTACAATTGATTAGAATTTCACAAATATGCTTCCTTCACAGGGTACAAACATTTTTAATGGTTATCATGGCTCATATCAAAAAATGGCGTCAGGTAGGTGAACCTTGCACTTCCTACGGAATATTTCGTTGTCCAGTGCCGTAGGAAGTAAAAGGAGGTTTCCATTTGAAAAAAAATTCTTCTTGGGTTTTCTAGCATCTAGTTCCCACTTTTTACCACCCTGTACTATTTGATATTCAAATTTGGAATAAAATCTACTAAGGTAAGTCTCCTTAAAGAAGCCCGTTACAAACCACATAGTAAAGGAAAAGATACTAGAAAAGATCTTATAATGCTTAGCCAGGATTTGTCGTTTCAATTTCAAATATGAGATACCTCAATTTACCTTAATTTGAGAACTTCTCACCACAGATTTATCGAAAACCACTGAATAAAAGAAAAAACGCCGAGACATGTCAATAGATTTGCCAAGGGAGACAACTTTTTAACCAAAAACTACTTCACCCCGTTTTCACCTTCTGCCCCCAGGGTCATCCCCTTAAAATTTTTAAATGACAGGGGGTATCGAGTAATAGCTTGTCTGAAAGGTCTTAAGTTCTTTATTTTGATGTTTGATTTTTTTAAATCGGTCGATTCGTTTTCAAGAATATTAGAAAAATCTTTATTTATCTTAATTTGTTCAGATAGAAAAAAAAACACACCAAAATACCACTTTTTATTTTAATAAGTGTTCAAAATGTTGTCCGCTATTGGCCAAACAATGATATAGGCGATGTTCAAATTCCTGACGGACATTTTCAAAAACAGGTTGTGGGATATCATGGCAGCTTTCAATGATGCGTTGACGAAGTTCATCCAAACTTCAAGGTTGGGGAGTAAACACAATAGATTTTAAATGGTCCTATAGAAAAAAGTAAATCAGGCCATTCTATAGGCACTTTTCCCCCTATCCATTTATCTGGAAACTCGTGGTCTAGCCATTGCCGAACCGGAAGAACTTAGTGAGGAGGAGCGCCCTCTTGCTGTAAATATATTTCATGCTCATCAAATATAGGGTTTACAACTTTCCATCCTCTTCGATTTGGTTTTCAATGGTTTCAGTAATAAGCGGATTGATGGTATTTTCCAACAGATCCAAATAAATGTATCCATTCAAATTTCCATTAATAAACATAGGGAACAATCACTTTGTTTCCTAAAATGCCTGCCAATATATTATTTTTTTGGGGGTACCGGGTATTACCTTCGAAAAGCATGAGGATTTTCATTGCTCCAATACCTGCAGTTATGATTATTAACCCTTAACTGGTATCGTCATTTTTACGTACGTAACTGGTATCGTCGGGTCAATTTTGACCCGACGATACTTTAAGAAGCTGAAGCTACCAACTTCCGAAATGCTATTACTGATCAGTTGTTAGCCTAATATACTACATGTTTGAACAAATAAAGCACTCGTACATTCAAACTGTTTATTGTCCAAAATCAAAACAAAATACTGCATCTGAAAATGAGTAATGCAATTTAATTTACGAAATTTCAACTCAAGTATGAATTTATCAAAAAACTAACATAATGGGCCATTAAACAACATATTTGATCTTTATATTCTATAGCGAAAAAACAAATACTGTCTCGTATTAGAAAACGTGCAATATCGTTTTCATAGCCTATCACTCATATTTGGCACTTTCCACATAACAATGTAGCTGCGCTGTGAACTTTACACACGTGCTGGTTACACTTATTACAGATCGTAGAATATTTATTGTCATTGTGAGACGGGCACATGTAACACCTACGTCGTTTTTTTCCTTTAAGAACTGCACAAGGATCAAGAACTCTGGGCTGAGAAGTGGACGGCTGACTTTCATTCGTCGGCGTCGTCGTGTCGTCACATTTCAGGATTCTTTGCATAACTGAGCGAAGCTCCCTACGAAGCCTTGGTTCCGATAAACGTCGTCTCATATGAGGTTCAATTAGAGTTTGACCTAGGTGAACAATAAAATTCCGTCGTGTCATAGAATTTTCAGTCCCAGACTGGAACAAAATAAAGGAATTTACAGAAGCTATATTCATAATAGCATACCAAATAGCACACGGCCACCTTCTTGTTCTCCGACCAGTATTGTAATTTGCACACTTCTGATCTAGTGCATCAACTCCCGCCTTTGTGAGGTTATAATATAAAATCATATCAGGCTTCTTTGATTCTTCATCTATTTTGTTATCATGGTGCATAGATGACACTACCAGTACGTATTTATTTGGTTTTGGAACGTAGGACACTAAAGTTGTAGTGCCACTAAACACAAACTTAGAAGTACCTGGGTCGGTTTTCTTATTTGGGACTACATATTGTGGTATTTGTGTCTTATTTTTACGCATCGTGCCGACATAAGTCAGTTGATTTTTGCGCAATTCTTCAACTAATTCTATTGATGTGAACCAGTTATCTGCCGTGATATTTCTGTTCGTATTCTTGACTGGATCAATTAGGGATAAGACAGTTAGGGTAGGCACTGACAGCTTTCTTGGATTAGGCTGCACACTTTCTGATTTACCTGTATAGACAAAAGCATTGAGCAGGTAGTGAGTCTTTGCATCACAAAGGCATAATATCTTTAGTCCGTACTTGTTCGGTTTACTTTTCATGTACACACGGAAAGAACATCGGCCTCTAAAACCCACGAGCATCTCATCTATTGTAAGGGACTCACCCGGAATATAACAATTTTGACAGTTCTGTATGAATGTCTCGAAGATTTCACGTATGTGGCGAAATTTATCAGGCTTTCTCGAGTCTCTGGTAGAAATACTATCAAACCTCAATGCGACTACCAAAAACATGTGCCGTCTGATGCAAATAAACCTTCAACATCTTCATGGTTGGATTTGAAAACTGATGTCAAATAGAGCAAACCAAAAAATGCTTTCATCTCTGCTGAATCTGTGTAACTCACAAACGAAGCTGTTGTTCCATATTTGCTGGACAATTCCGTAATTTTCTCATTTGTACAGTCCACAATTTTGCTAATCATTTCATCGGTTATGAGAAGAGACCAGTAGTTGACAGGGTTCTTATCTTGCAAATTTCTTGCCACGGGTTTTAGTCCAGGTAAATGCGTAATAATATTATGTCGTCTGGTTCGACCAGCTGTAGGAGCTCGTTTTGACCATTTGTACCTGTTCTTTCCATAAACATAGCCTATGGATGATAGTGGCAAATCTGAAGAGCTATCTGAGTCCACACTGTTGTCTGCACCGCCATCAAAATCGAAGTCGCCCACAGGAACTTCTTCAGCTTGATCGACAACAGCGTCGTCCTCGGCGTCGTCTATGGTGTATTCTTCATCAGAATCGTGATTACTGTCGAAAGTAGCCGCATCACTTATATCGCCATCATCTTCACTGTCTAAGAACAACTCACGTACTTGTTCTTCGGTATATTTCTTGCCGTCAATAACGAAAAAATCCATTGCGAAGAAAGTCCAAAACGCACACGCAACTGGTATCGTCGGGTCACATTTGACCCCAAAGCAAACAAACCTACACTTGCGACGCTCAAATTAAACTGACCTTTGCGGTATATGTGCATACGTATACTGTCTGAGAAATCACGGAACCCCCACCACATAGCTGCGAAAATCCCAAAGCTATGACGAACTGAAGGCGCGCCGGGTCAATTTTGACCCGACGATACCAGTTAAGGGTTAACAAACCCATTTAGATAAAATGTGCATTCATCACTGAAACAGATATTCTTTACATGAATGGTATTATCATTAATCGCTGCAGTCATTTGTTCACAAAACTTAACTCATTTAACATTTTGAATGGAAGAAATTTATGGAGTTTAGAACCTGTGTGTACAGAGCCTAATGAAATACCAGTCGCAGCAGCAATTTTGCGTAATGAAGTATTAGGATTTATTCCAAAAGACCTAAAACTTCAACTTGAGCGGCTTCATCCAAAACTCTCCGATGATCCCGTGTTTTATCTGCAACAGATCCAGTTTGAGTAAATTTAGTAACAAGGTCTAAAACACAGGTAACTGACAGCAAATTATATTTTTTCTTTCCCGTAGCAACAAATAACTAAAATCCGTGTTGATGTACAGAATGCGGAAAACAATTCGGGTTGTTATTTGGTTTTTGCCATATCTAATCTTCCGAATTGCTGTTTATGTTGGTAGTTTCCGTTTTAAATTATAACCGAAATGTATGTTTGCCAAGCTCTAACGGGCAACATTTTGAACACTTATTGGAATAAAAAGTGATATTTTCATGTGTTTTTGTTTTCTATCTGAACAAATTAAGATAAACGAAGATTTGTCTAATTTTCCCATAAACGAATCGACTGATCTAAAAAAATCAAACGTCAGAATAAAGGACCTTGAAAGGCATTTCAAACCAGCTATTACTCGATACCCATTGCCATTTAAAATTTTTGAGGGGATGGCCTTGGGGGGCCTAAGATGAAAGGGGGTGAAGTAGTTTTTGGTTAAGAAGTTGTCCCCCTTGACAAATCTTTTGACGTGTGTCGGCGTTTTTTCTTTTAATTATTGGTATTCGATAAATCCTTGGTGGGATGTTTTCAAATGAATACAAGTCCAAATCGTCATAATTGTCTTATGTCAACTTTTTCAATAATCTATTGTTGTACTTCTGCGTTGGACACTGTATTGTTTTACTGTTCGTCAGTCTAATAGCAATCTGTATGCATATCTGTGAAATTCATACATATTTCAGGACATTTTGGCAGTAACTTTACAATAACTGTTTCCAGACGTACTGGGTCGACTTCGTTCATCTACGGTCAACCATGCAGCGAGAGGAACACAGCCTATCTGCAATACCTGTTCTGGCGGATGCCATACGAGCCAATCAAATGTGTCGACATGACGGGCTTCAAACGGATCATCAAAGAGCGTTTCAGTCTCTTCAACTATACTAAGTTTTTGGCTGCCTCCAGACCCGCTGATACTCTGTATGCAGATCATATGAACCTCACCAGGTTTCCTGTCTCACTCGTTAGGGCGCTTCCCAATTTGGAGCTCATTGATCTCCAGGTAAATCGTACAGATAGTAAATACTCTAGGTGAAATGTTGATACCACAGATTATTAGCTACACTACAGATAACACTCTCTCCAATAATTCCTAGTACCACCGTTAACAATGCCATCCGACGATTGCGCCGAACACTAACACATAACAAACGAAACTAAAACGACGATTGTTTACAGGATCCTAATCAGTGACACTTGTCCTCTCTGTTATCCTTAAGTTGCATTATACTTTTAAGTAAATATATAAGGATATTGTTAGTTATGCTAACTTAACAAACATGTATTCGTTATAGGAATTGGCCATTGAAACATACAGTTTTCAAGTTTTCATCCACTTTTATTCTGTAAAATAACACACAACATATAATAAGCATATAAGTAAATACATAACATTTAAAAAATGGCGTCAAGTCTACTGATAGATACCTATATAATCTGTTACTATGTTTCATTGTTTGAAGAATTCCAAATGCATCACAAAAGAGATTAACACAAAATAGACGTTCGACAGTTACATTTGAAATATAAAATCATCCTCGACGGCATTATTAAACCAACCAAAAGCAAGGCAAACTATACCTACTAGTTTAGTAAAACTAGTCACACACTTTGGCGCTTTAAAAGAAATACAAAATATTTATAAAGATCACATGTTCATCTGTACACAAATGTAGATATATTATAAAATATGTATTGTGTATAAATGTATCATATAAAATATAGTCTCGTTTGATCTATACCATTCTTGTCAGACTATTTAGATGCTATGCGCAAGCAAAATTATGTTTAATTAGTTAACATATTACCGATAGACTCGGAGCGAGGCTATAGGGTTGGATCCACCTCCGTTCAGAGGGTTTGACAAACATCTCTTACCTCACGTCCGAAGAGGACGCAGACGAGATCTTAGCCTGTAGGCCTCTTTTCTTGTTCTTATTTTCTACTTGTCTTGATGACGTAGTTTTGCATTTCGTTGGTAAGAATTGCAGTATATAGTTTTGTCTCATTCCATAACTTGGGTTCTTGGGGTTGCGCATTCCTTCAACAGGCCAAATGCTCCTCTTTCAGGTCCCTGCAGACAACTTCTAGGTTATTCGGCGATTCTGGTCTCTCTCTTTCTCTCTCTCTCTCTCTCTCTCTCTCGTGTCAGTTGCATGGCCTATGCATCCAGCAGGCTCCGACACCGTGACCGTATCGGTATCTCTCGACGGGAACTCTTGCTCTGTTCTGTTAATTACCGGGCTACTATTTTGAATTTATATATATTTTAAGTAAATTCTTTTAGTCAAATTTCTTCTGAAAGTAATACAAACTAATCTGATGTACCTATTAAAGTCTACTTTAAGCTTTAAATCAATAAATCTTCAAAACTACTGAACTGAAGCACATGTATTTTACATCATTATAAAGGGAATTGAAAGACCTTTAAAATAAGGTATCACTCGACCCCCCTTTCCATTTAAGATTTTAGGATTGGTGACACCCCCGCCCAGGGGGCTGCACGTGTTAACGTGATTTTTTGCCAAACTTGCGTCCCCCTCGAAAACAAAATCGACGGGTCTGAGCGTTTTACCAAAAAAAAAACTGAGCTGCCAGTAAATGCGTCTGTTTCGTTTTCGATGCGCCACCCTGTATAAACAACCTGTTATTTAGCTGTTCATGAAATGAAATAAAGATTTAAGATATTTTTTTCGATGGGAAATATTTTTCCATACTGCTGTTAAAACGTAACATTAATTAATTGATTTGATATAATACATTTATTAGGTAAATGCGAAACTAAGGATATTTCCTAGCACTTTCAAATTTAAAATGAAAGTAGATGAGACTCAAAGTTGAAGTTCCAGTTGTAACTTTTAAACATTCATGATAAATTCTGATTTGTCTTCAATAATTTGTATTGTTGTTGTGTTAGGTATGAAAACATTGCCTTAGCAAGCCATAGATTAAGATTCAGCACTCTTCAAATAACCAGAACCGGGGTGAAAAAAATTGACTATCTACTATCCAGGTCCAACAAGGTACATGCTCTTTCGCCATGCCGATAACTATCCAATATCAATACTTAGCGATAAAAAAATATGCTTTTATCCAGATTAAGCTGCTTTTACAATCAACAAAAACCCCATTTCTCGCAATTGTGTGGAACACCAGAACTATATGGAAAATACGCATTTTTAACGTTTTCGCATAAAGTTAAGAATTTAATGCGAAATATCAATTACTGTGAAACTGAAGGCTTTAGTCTGCTCGACTTGTAGCATGTACTTGCAACCTGACTACTGACTAGGATTTTGTGAATTTTTACTAGTCCAAATTCCTTGTTCCATACTAATTGCCTTACATATATATTCTAAATGAACATTGTTGTTGTTACCTTATAAGCAAGTTGTTCTATTCAATTTCGACATCAAGCCAATCAAGATATTGGAGAACGGTTTTTTAGCAAAAAATAAATTTCACCAGTTCCTATTATATTTTCAGGGCAATAACATCAGAAGGCTGCCCATCCGTATGCACTTGGTTGCTCCAAAATTGGATAAGCTCCTGGTGGCAGATAACAAAGTAGCCATCCCAAAATCCAAGCCCCTCATGGTGTCCGACAGCATCCGCACTTTGATGCTCAGCAACAATGGTATCGAGCGCATTTTCAAGTACACGTTTGCTAAACTGCCTGCTTTACAAGTTCTCTACTTGGATGGAAACAAGCTCAGAAATATTGCACCTATTGTAGGAGTACTACCTAGCTTGAAATACTTGCACGTCGGAAGAAACTATCTGGAAACCATTCCGCCACAGAACCTAAAGTACTATGTCACCAAGGATCAGAAAACTCCAGAATATTGAATAAGAAGGATGTGATATGGCAAAATTGCAGTAGTACTGAAATTGCAATGTTCGTAAATGTAATTTGCCCACATGAATATTTCGAAAACTGCGTATTCATTGAAAAAGTTCCCAACAAAAGCTGTAGGGCTTCGAGGGGAAAATGAAGGTGACCTTGGCAATTGTTTTGAGTACGACCTTCAAGGTTCTTTCAAGGTTAAATAAATACTTTCAAAGAAACTCCCCTTTCTTCACATCGGAATTGAAAAGCGGAGCGAAATTTACGTTTGATCACCACCTTGTCGATGACCTTGACTACTACCTTCAAGGCCATTTCAAGGCCAAAATCAAGACATCGAAAACGATTTGTTCTAGTAAAAATGTTCAACAGCATTGTTGTGAGGTATGTGAGAATCACGGTGACCTTGACCATGACCTCCAACATCAAGTCAAAATTTACATAGGGAACCTCTCATTTTAATACTGGGAATGGAAACATTAGTAAATTTAACGTCCGACTGTGGCCTTGACCTCAGATAACATTTAAGCTTGACACGACCATGAATTTGCGGTCAAGGTCATATTCGGACTTAAAACTTCCTGCTTTTTCCATTTCAAGTATAAAAATGAGAGGATTCTTTTGGAAATTTTGACCTGACCTTGAAGTTGTTGGTCAATATGACGATCAAGGTCACCTTCACAACATAATGTTGTCAAACATTTTTGCTAGAGCGAATTGTCTTCGTTGGCTTGATTTGACCTTAAAGTGGCATTGAAGGCACTGGTCAAGATCATCGGCAAGGTGACGTTTAGACATAAAATTTGCTTCTATTTTTAATTCCGATGTAAAAGGGAGAGCTCTATTTGAAAATATTCAGCTGACCTTGAAATCACATTGCATGTGGTAGTTCATGTCTCTGTCAAGGTCTGAAACTTTTTCGAGATATTCAGGTGGGGAGACACCATGTACAGGTATATCTAGAGAAGTTAAGATATACTTTGTTATACATGGTGTTCCATAGAAATGATGGTGCTTGGGCATTATTATCCATTTAGCAGAGGTATAGCAAGCAGCTAATTGGGCACATATCAGATTTTAATGCATAATTTTTTTCCAAAATATGCCATTAGGTTTCAGTTACACTCAATTGTATGTCAAAAATTAAGTAAGATATCTTAGTATAAGCGGCAGTGATATTTTCTATCTTCATAAACATAGTCTCCGAACATATAACAACAGTTGATTCAGGAATACCCACTTTAGTTTTGTTCGAACGTTGTTTTTTAAGCCTATTATATTTGTTGCTACTTTCATACATTTTTGATCTAGTTATAATGAACTTGTATATTTTTGTACTTTGGGTTTGACTGGAATATATTTTTGTACAATAACCACTAATATATTATTAAGTTCAGTTTTGAAGAGCGTGCTGATATATATATATATACTGGATGTTATTTTATTTAGATATTGAGCATTATGTGCAAACTGAATCATTTTCTGATGAGACCGTATCCACTAGCAATGTCAAAGGAACAGTATTCTCCTCGGGGTTAATTCTTGGAATTAGGAGCAGAATAGCTGAGAGAAAGTGGGCGAGTAGTCTAATCATACAAGCAAATTTTCCCGAAATAATTGTAAAGTTGGGTTTTGTTGATGCAAGTTGTTCAAGGGGGTATTTAAAGTATGGACGCATAAAATGGGTACAGCAATTTTTGTGGGTAAACTTTTTATTCGCAACAAAGAATGAGAAAACGTGTTCTTTGGAATTTAATTGAAAGTGTTGGCAGAAACGAAAAAACTCTTCATACAAGATTTTTAGATATTCATGAGACCTACAAAATGAGATTACATGTAAAAAGATCCGACTAATAGTAAAAAAGTTATAGCCGAAAACCAAGACAAAATGCAGGTTTTGGCACTTGTTGCTTATGCGACGATAATTCCACGCAGCTACTTGAAATTATACTAAGTGACATATAAATCCGAACACCCAGTTTAAATGGTTTTATTTTAATAAAAGTTGGTGAATGTATTTATCTTACTGTAAATAACAAGTGAAAAAATTTTCAGTCTTATCATATGAACATTCCGGTTTTTATACTGATTTTTTTTAATTCACTAACGCTCTAAAAATGAATATTTCAGCCGCAGTAAAGAATCAACGTTGGCGGATTTTGGTTCTTGACATCCTTTACGATCGGTTACGATGCCTAGAGTACGGAGACCTGTACGATTTCGTCAACTTAGTGAGTTTGATAGGGGCCGTATAGTGGGACTTCGGGAAGCTGGACTTTCTATTCGGGCAATTGCAGTTAGAGTGCAAAGAAGTGTAGACTGTGGTTAGGTGTTGTCAGACATGGCTTCGAGAAGGCCGTACGCAAAGAGCAAGGGGCACTGGACGCCGCCGTAGAACAACAGACCGTGAAGATCGTTGCCTAAGATTATTGGCCTTAAGGGACCGTTTCTCCACTACCAGGTCCATTTGCAAATGAATGGTTTGCAGAACACGGAAGACCTATTGGCATGCGAAGTGTTTACCGACGAATGAGAAGTTTTGGCTTGTTTTCATACCGGCCTCCCTTTAACTCGAGAACACCGACGTAATCGCCTTGAGTGGTGCAGACAACGGTCACTCTGGGATCAGGAATGAAACAGTATTTAGTGACGAGTCTCGATTTTGTTTAGGCATGCACGATGGTCGTGCCAGGGTTAGAAGGCGACGTGGTGAAAGAAGGAATCCACAGTTTTTTGTTGAAAGACATGTTCATCACACTGTTGGAGTTATGGTTTGGGGTGCTATAGCTTATGGTTCCAGGTCACCTTTAATCTTCATCAGAGGTAACATGAACGCGCAGCGTTATATCTACGAAGTTCTAGAACCCCATCTTTTACCCTATCTTGACACCCTGGCAGATCCAACTTTCCAACAAGATAATGCCCGACCACATGTTGCAAGAGTCACAATAGACTTCTTTCAACATAATGATGTCACATTGTTACCATGGCCACCAAGATCTCCCGACTTATCTCCAATTGAGCACGTGTGGGATATGATGGGTAGGAGATTGCTCAATTTACAACGTCCTCCTCAGACTCTAGAAGCACTTCGAGAGGAGTTGGTGGTTGCCTGGAATGAGATAATACAGGAGGACATTGTCCACCTGATCAGAAGCATGCCTAGGCGCGTTGGAGAATGCGTAGCACATCAGGCTGCATCCACACATTATTAAAGGTCAAAGGGCTTTAAAGCAGTGCAATCATTTTGAAATTTTTATCATTTACTTATTATGCTTCATTAAGTACTTATACAAAATTTTATTAAAATAAAACCATTTAAACTGGGTGTTCGGATTTATATGTCACTTAGTATATTTAAATCGGTAGGCTTCATACCTCTGAATAACCGCAACAAAATTGGAGTCGATTGGTCAAGTAGTTTTTGAGAATTTCTAATTGCTTATCCCAAATCATCTGTCTCCCGGCCATCACTACTACTTTACTGAGCAATATACAGAGCTCGTTCAAATGACATTTTATAGCAAAATACACGAATTTACCTTGCCGACGTGGATCACAAACCACTCCAAAGATAATTGTTATTTTTATGCGAAAAACGATTTCTTTTGAATACCTACATATTTAGAGTTGGCATTTTTACACGGTCACAGACAGTGTTGGCTCTGGCAAATTCCGCTACTGGTATCGAAAAACTCCGCTACTTTCCGCTACACCGGTGATTATCGTCGGAGGGAGGGAGGTTGGCCCACTATCATAAAACAGGGGGGCATTTATTATACAGGTTGTGTCAAAAAAGGAAAACAAAAACCAAACACCGTGAAAAAATATAACATAAAACTGTAATAAAAAAAACATTTGACTATAAAAACCAATACAAGATTACAAATAATTGTCAAACAACAGAACATTTATCACGCAGTCATATTAAAAAGATATCACAGGAAACTAAAAAATTAAAAGCATATGACTAAAGGTCATTTCTGTTTTGCATAAAAAAATTGAAATTTTTGTGTTACTTATACTTAGCCACTGTCTGAATCAGATTCTTCTTGTTGTGTTTCTGTTCTCTCTATATTATATAAATTATTTTTGTATTTTTTAAAATGTTTCTCACCAAACTCGAAGTCTAAGCAGCAACATTTTTTTGTATTGTATCCAGTTTGATAAGTATCGCGAACAAACTTGGAGATAAAATACGATTCGTTTTCTTTGTTTTGATTATAAACATATATGAGAATGTTCACTCGACATCTGTATTACAATGTGGCAAATGTTAAAGTTATTAGACATACTTTGGAAATACAGATTGTGTTCTGACCACCTACTACCATCTATACGCGTCTCCGTTGAATAAGAATTACCGATCGGTGGTTACCACTTATTGAAAATATACCTGTATTTAGATTTGGTTACTAACTGCACACAATTCTTTCTTTGTGGTAAAAATATCCATCAAGTTGCAAAATTCCGCTACTTTTAACAAAAAATCCAATACCGCCGCGATTAAAACGACTGCGAGTTCAAAATGTGGGATAATAAACTCGAGAAAACGTCTCATATCTAAATACGAAACCCTTGTCCGGGTTCTATAGAGAACTATCCCAGAACTGGGTATTACGTATCTTGAAAAGTGACATTTCGTCGGTTTTCTTGACATTTTCTAGGTTTTTTTGACATTCCGGTATTTCTACAAGATGTTAACTTTGCACAAGCTGTTGTACACATGTTGTGAACTATTTGCACACTAAAAACCACCTAGTCTGCAAGATGACATTTAATTTTTTTGACGTTTTTTTAGGTTTTTTTACATAATAGCCATGCCGTTCTGATTCTGTAAGCAGTCACTGACAATGAAGTTCTGACAACAGGAGGACCTACTGCGCGGAATTAACACGATTGTGGGATGGTTCTCTGTAAACCCCGAACAAGGCACAAGGAAACTTTGTGATGGAACATGTTATGAGATGATCAACTCAGAACCATATTATTATTTTGCCGAAAATTGATGCATTTGCAAACTTGTTTGGCGAATATCACTAGCTGCCCAAAATTGGCATCAATCCCACAAGGAAGAGAACCACAATCACGTTATCTTAGCGCTTGTACTCGTGCACGTAGGACGCTATCGCTCTGATATTTTGTGTTGTACCAGCTATTGGTATATTTCTGTATTATAAATAATAATTGAAACTTTCACCATCTGCAAACTAAAAATTCGTATTTTTGTATATACTCTGTTTACGAGGACGTATTTTGAGGAACTATTTGAAATTTAGAGAGTTGTGTTTCAGGAGATAACAGCTTGTGAAAAAATGTCGTCAAGTAGGTTTACTCTGCACTTCTTACGCAACGCTGTCATTAGTTCATATAGGATTATGTTCGGCACAAGTTAGCCCCTCTGAGATAAAAGTTAGCTATGAACATGTATAATAAAAAAGAAGTTGAACGAATAAAGTTAGTCAAACATACTCATACAATCAAAATTTGCATATTTACCATGTTTTTTTGTGCTATTTTGGAGCTCTTTACAATTTGACACAAGAGTTATCTCTTGTCGTTCCAATGAGAAAAATTTCTGCAGGTGCATATGATCGAAGATGATCAAGCTTGGATGACGATCACTCCACCTCCAGTCAAGCAGCGGAGGTCGACTGCTACAGGCACGCATTGGCTGGACCGCGGAGCGTAGGACCGACCCGCGAAGGTCCGAAATATTTCTCCACCATTCATATTTTAAGGATGAATGTACGGTGAAATCTATGATGAGTGAAATACTCGTATGTCTAGAATATGTATAGAATTGCCACGGCTATAAGTATACCAATGTCAATTCAAAAAAATTGAGATATACCCCCATCCACCTCCCTACAACCTCCCAATTTTTCATCAAATGATGTTTTTTCAAAAATTATCAGGATCCTTTGAAACCTCAAAACACGAATTTTTATTTTTACTTTTTTGTCTATAGCTCCGCTGTCACTGAATTTCAAAAACTTTAAAGCTTGTTTGTCCTTTGGCATAGTAGTAACCTTGAGCGAAAATTCCATCAAAATCCGACCGGTAATTTCCAATTTATAGAGGGTCAAGGTTTAGCGGAGCGAAGACAGACAGACAGACCGACGAAAATCCGTGACATGGTTTTTCTTGATGTACATGTGTTATAACACCCAAAAAATATAACATCTCATTTTCGAATCTTTCCGCTATTACAATACTTCCACGCCAGTGGCGTAGGAAGTAATAAGATCGATACAAATCTTATGTCTCTTCAATTGGAAGCGCCACTAGTATGCAACAGTAGAGGTGGTGAATGTCATTAGATTTGAACATCTGTGATATCTGTTATTGTTACTTTATGGTATCAGTGATTTAAAACCGAGGCGTGATAACGACTTTCAATTAACGATGAGATTATGGATTTACTATGGAACTGCCAAAGTCTACAGGGCGCGATATCGTTTGTAGGCCATAGTAGACTTAACATTTGAATGCGATTTTCTACCTTAGCAGCTAGCGCGCATGCGAATCTGACGCACATTCAAATAACGCCGTGTTCCGATAATGCCATTAGCCATCGTGAACCAACAGTTCCCGAAGTGGTGATCACGTCAGGCTATTTCATGGTTTTTGTAACACTCGTGATACTAAATTGAGATTTGTGATAAGTGCTAAGTCTATATATAGTTCGCACGAATTCTGTCTATACATGACTCGTTTGAATGCCGCGCTGAACAACGATTTTTACACCTCAGTAGCATAAAGAAAAAAGTACTAGTCCTCGTATATCACTTTGAAGAACAGGAAACAGTGCCAATAAATTGTTTACACCACACATGCCTAATATGAATAAAAGCGAACACGGTAAAAAGGGAAAAAGAACGGAAATTAATAAAAGTTGTAGCTATGAGCATATTTCCTTTTTTTCATTTCTCATTTTATATCCCCTTTTATCTCTCTAAAATATATGGTAATCTATGCTAAAGCGATTTATATACGTTTCTCCATTCCTTTGTCTATAGAGAGCTCGGAGTTGCAAAAAGCGCAGAAGTTGGAAAATTGAAAGTTAGGTTACAATAACGTGCACTTTTGCAGTTTAAAAAGTTTATCGTTGTAGTTGAACTAAGCGAAGATCCAAGTTCCTTTGTAATTTTTTGCCTCCATATTCTAATTTTTACCTCCGACGCCTGTCCGCAAATCCTTGGCCCGTCTATAACTTGAAAAGTACTGCTCTGATAAAATTTATACACAAGGTTACTACTATACCAAGGACCAGCACGCACTATGGTTTTTTAAAATCGGCCCAGTTTCGGCAGAGAAATATGCCAAAAACGACAAAAATTAAAATTACTCAAACTTGTTTTAGAGGATCCTGATCATTTTCTCGTACATTTGCCCTTAAAACTTAGAACGATAGAGAAATGTTTGCGACAATCTTCTTTGGTTAAAATCGGCTTCACTGATTTGTCTCTCTAGCTGTTTTTAGTAATTTTTTATGCGCCTGATCCAGGCGTGTTGCAACACCGCTCTCCTGTAGCATCTCCCAAAGTATCCCATCTGGGATGCAGGAGGGGAACTGACCAGCTCTTTTATATATCTTCTTGAGGCACCTGTCTAATTTAAGAATATCACTTTTACTTATGCGTAGGAATACAGCAGTAAGTCCGTATGTTAGTACCGGGTAGATGCAGGCTTTAGTTATTTTCAATTTCACTTCACTAGTTAGTTTTTAGGGCACGTTCCCACGTTTGCTTACTAGGCTCGTTGTGAACGTCCATCTATGGAGAAATTACTCGGATTGAACGTCAGTACTGAATCTTAACCTCACTCTATAGTAAACTTGAATTCAAAGTTTCACAACAATACGTGCAGTGTTCTTACTACAGTGAATTTTTAAGGGTCACCAAGTGATTAGAAAAATGGAACTCAACCGAGACCGAGAACATTTTCGCGCCATAATTTATTACAACTTTCAGAGACAATTATCGCAACAAGAATGCCTTGCTGAGTTACTGTCTGTTTTCGACAACGAAGCGCCACATCAGTCGACAATTTCCCGTTGGTATGGAGAATTGAAACGTGGACGGGTGAGTCTTAGCGACGATCCCAGGGTGGGTGCACCAAAAACGGCAGTCACCCAGGAAACCGTCGATGCTGTGCGCAAACTCATCATTGAAGATAGACATGTGACATATCGCGAGATTGAGGCATCCTTGAAGATCTCAAAGACCTCAATTCAAAAAGATGTGCATGAAGAATTAGTAAAAAAATTAGTTTCTCTTTGGATACCCCACCTGTTGACTGAAGAGCAGAAAGCAGCCAGGGTTAATTGGTGTAAAAAAACGCTTGACCGTTTCAATTCCGGAAACTCAAAAAATGTGTACAGCATTGTTAGTGGTGATGAATCGTGGATTTACTGTTATGAACCAGAAAATAAACGACAGTCGGCTGTTTGGGTGTTCCAAGGTGAATAAAAGACAACAAAAGTCATCCGTTCTCGAAGTGTTTCGAAAAAGATGGTCGCGACATTTGTGTCAAAAGCGGGTCATATTGCAAAAATTCCTCTTAATGAGCAAAGAACTCTTACTGCGGATTGGTATACCACCATTTGTTTGCCAATAGTCATCACCGAGCTTCGAAAAATCAACCCCAAAAGAAGAATCATCCTCCACCAAGACAATGCAAGCTTGCACACAGCCCAAAAAACAAGGCAGTATTTAACAGAAGAAAACGTGGAATTATTGGACCATCCTCCATATAGTCCCGATCTAAGTCCTAACGATTTCTTTACTTTCCCGAAAATTAAAAACAGACTGCGTGGTCAAAGGTTCCAGTCACCAGAAGAAGCAGTTGACGCATTCAAAAATGCCGTTTTGGATCTGCCAGCAAAAGAGTGGGATAAGTGCTTCGAAAATTGGTTCGAGCGCATGCAGATGTGTATTAATTTTCGTGGAGAATACTTTGAAAAACAATAAAGTCATTTAAAACTACCTACTGTGTTTTTTTATTTCCATATGCAAAACTTAAAAGACGTCCATCGTATTTGCTGTGTTAAAATATCATTACTGAATGTGCTGCCAATGAAGTATATCTATTAGCTGTATCCGACGAGCTATTTATAAGTTGTCCTTTCTGAAGACAGGTTATGTTCAAAGTTATAAATTACGAAAAAGTTTGAGGAGAATTGCGGGAAATCACCACCGCGCCCGGTTGTGTGTAATTACTGTTAGCATGTATATGGCTTGTAATTCGACAGTGTACAGTGAATATAATTATTTTTTATCTCTCTCATTTTTGAAATTGGATGCGCAACTAATTTCTAGCTTTGAATCTCAAGTAAGTGTATTTGAGACAAGAATCCAATGGAATTATCATCAACACATACAACTTACAGCTTAGACCTTCAGTAGTGCCATCTCTGGAGCAGATTTTACATTACATCAGAGCCAAACATTGATAACTGAAGCCTCATGACTTCTAGGCAACACGTTCAACTAAGTGCTAATTTAACATCTTGTAGAAAAACCTACATAATGTCAAAAAAAATCGATATAACGTCACCTTTCAAGATACGTAATACCCGTGCCGATTATCTAGTAATATTCCAAAATTCCCTATATCGACAACTGACACATAATTTTGACGGATAGGTCAATGCCAGGTAGACAGAGCCATTTTTTTTGTACGCTCCAAATTTAATTTGTACTTGCTAACAAGTCGTTTATTTAGAAAAGTTCATTTGTATAAACAAGTTTTACTAGATTTACATCCGACTCATTATTGCCAACGTTACAGACTAAGACTAATACAAAGATATCACATACTGATCAGCTGTTCATCTCAGTGGCGACGGACGGCAAAATCAATAATCCAGTATGTTAGGTTGGATTCGGATGCTGGCGACGTCGCCATGATGTCCCAGTGAGAGAGGGCTCTTCATGGATTTCTACCTAATGTTCGTTGACATGATATGAAGTTCGTTAGGGATTCAAATGACTATATCTTAGTATGAATGCCTGAGCTTCAATCGTAACAACTTTTTAATACAATTTGGCACTCAGACTTGGAAAATTCATGGTCCATATACCAAAAGAACGTAGATATTTCATCACCCCATTCGTTAATCCTGATGACATTCGTAGGGCCACAAATCTTGTCCATGAAGTGAGAAACGCACTGCACGAATTCCATAACGAGCAATCGAGCGACTTTCTGGCGGGAATGCTTGATTCAAGTATTCCTCTCTGGAGGGTGGTAGCAAAGTCACTCAAAACGGAAAGCGAGAACAGCTCCCGTACATCCACGGTGCTGAAGGCATAGTCTTCAGAACGGAGGATAAGGTCGAGGTTTTCACTAATGCCATGGAAAAACAGTTCTCTCGAAACTATGATCTTGATAATGACCTCGACGAGGAACAACATATCTTACGATCCGTCAGGAGATATTTTAGGGCCAACGGCGTTAGCGGAGGCACTGAATTCTCTTCTGATGACTCTTCTTCAGAAGATTTGTCTGAGGCTCCACATAGTACATTAGCGTAACCCTCCGAGGTTCCACATTGCACACCAGCGGAGCTCCTAAGTCATATTAAAGACCTCAAGGTGCGTAAAGCAACTAGGGAGGATCAAATCACCAACAAGACGTTGAAGCTGCTATCGCCGAAAGCTCTGACATATTTGGTGACAATAATCAACGCGATGCTCAGAATCCATTACTGCCCTGCTGGGTGGAAGACTGCTGAGGTTATCATGATTCCAAAGAAGGTGGGTTCGATATTTCCTCAGGATTACCGTCCCATTAGTCTGCTGTCAGCTCCTTCTAATCTCATCGAAAAGGTGATTTATCGTCACATCGAGAATTCCATGTGATTCCTGACGTTCAATTCGGTTTTCGATCCGAGCATAGCCCCGAGCTACAGGCAGTCAGGCTGGTGGAACATGTACCCAGAGGGTTCACCCTCAGCATGAGTACTGGCATCTGGCTTTTGGATGTCTCAAAAGCCTTTGACAAGGTGTGGCACGCAGGCCTCTTCTATAAACTAATCCAAAAGGGTTTTCCTTTTTGGCTTCTAAAATTACTTAAATCCTTTCTTGAAGGAAGGAAGTTTCGAATCAAAATTAACAATGTTTTGTCAACAACACCGTCAACAACACCGCCTGTTCGAGGTGGTGTTCCTCAGGGTTCGGTCCTAGGACCAATTCTTTATTCGCTTTTCATCCATGGTGTCCCTTCCCCCAGCAACTGTGAAGTCTACCTCTATGCTGTCGACACTGCACTTGTCGCCCAGTCGTGTACTGGTGATCTTCTTAGAAATGATCGGTTTATCAGATGGACGAATCTTCCGTTATTAATAAATTCAGCTGTTTCCGTTATTCTGTCCTGAAGTTCAGCAAAATTTTCGATTGGCTGAGTAAACTTTTTATTCCACCGCATCCCAGTAAAAAATCCAGTGAATTTAAGTCAGGTGAACGACCTGGTCACGAAATTGCACAAGACCACACTATCCCTTTACTCGGGTATTCCGCACCAAGATATTCTCTAACTGAACGGACATAGTGCGCCGGGCAGTCATCTTCTGGTAGCACATGTCTCTGTAAATGCTTAGAGGCACGTCTTCCAGTAAATCAGGTAAATGATTTTGTAAAAAGTCTTAATACATTTCTTTATTCAAAAACTCTGGATCCCGGTCCACATGTTTACTTTAAAACGATACTTGTCTCATCAAAAGTAGATTTTCTACATGCCACTCGTATAAGTTGTGTAGATTCTTGTGATCATCTTTTCTAAATGTCGACTAATCAGTCCATAAGATTTTCCCTAAAAATCATGTCTCTGTAACATTGTTGACAAAACTCAACTCTTGAATGATAATCCTGTTGCTACAGAGATTGCATGTTCGTTGTTCGCGTGCAGCGCATTCCTTCGCAAGATTCGGTGGGCTGTACTTTTGGGCACTCCCGTGCTTGCTTCTGTTTGACGTACTGAAGTACTCGGGACTTCTTCGACTGCTTGTAGTACAACGTCTTGGTCCCTGTGTCACTACGCAGTCAAGAATTAATAAAATTGGCCTTACTATCTGTCTTGCTGTCACTATGTAAAATGTGCGTCGCTTCGTCAGAGAAAAAATTAAAATTTTTAGTAATGGGAACCTAAAGATTATTACAGGGTGTAGATTTTTCCGATTTATCTTACAGCCTATAATTTGAAAAATATACGACTTACATTTTTTTATTTTTTTCTGATAACTATTATGACGCTCGTTTCCGGCTTAACGTCGACTTCTGGGTATTTATGAAACTTTTAGAATCTCAATTGCCAGAACTACACGTGTTACTTGTTGCTTAATCATGGGGCAAATTTCATAGCAAGATGTTTGACGTAATGTAGAAACTGTCTGCATATTGTAATGGTCCATTAGCCCTAAACATCCACTTTTAATTCGAACACCAATGCCTGTAATATTCGCCATTATCTCCCTCGTCAACATAAACGCCTAGTCGATTGAATAAATGTACGTTGAACTTAGCTCCATTGAACCCCGCAGCAGTCAGTGAAGGAATTCCCCGAGGAGAACGCTTAACTTTCGACGTGCATTTTCCGGGTTCGTCGTCCCTTTTTAAACTCTAGCCCCCGCTTTACAATACGTCGATTTATAATCCGAAGGGTACACTTACAACATGCTTGGATTCCATTGATATTTCTGTCGGAACTTTCCATTGCTACATCTGGGGCTTTGTGAAACGTGAATTGGAGAAAGGTAGTGGTAGACAGTAATGTAACTATCAAAAGTTTTGCCGAATACCGGGCATTTATGTCAAGTTACAAGTGTCTTCAGTACCTTCGAATCCTAGAAGTTTGAAATAATACTTCCTTGGTAAGATCTACAACGCATTTTAATCGGACGTGCGGTTGGGTTCTTTTATTTGATAAAAATACCGTCTTAGAAAAATTGTACTGCACTTTATTACCGGGTAGTGCTACATCCGCGAAACGCTCGTGGCGATGAAATTAGATAATATCTGATATACGAGCCCCTTCCCACTTTAGTTGGCCCACTTCAAGATTTGTACCAAAATATGCCTTTATAAACGAAACATGACGAAACTACTTCTAAAACAATTTATTTTCTCAAAAACAATTTAGATACACTCTAGTCGTAAAAAATACATATATGAAATCACTTAGACCTATAACTAATTATACTTTAGGTCCAGTCGGAAGACATCACTTTATTTACTATGTCCTGGAGTACTAGCCGCACACCAAGTTAAAAGACAAGAGATCCCCGCTCCCATCCCGTCGCGCTCCGGTCTTGCACGTTGAGACATTCGGTTTTTGGTGTTACAGCCGTACGGTCGCCCGGCTTGTTTGTGCGTTAGGAAACACGTAAAATACGCGATTCCTTTTCAAATCGGTTTAGTGCTTGGTGAGTAGGTTGGTAAGTACGTACAACAATGGGTTTTTTTGTTGCTCATCTAGTAGCACGTTATATATAATATATACTTAGCAGAAAACCATGGAAGAAAAACCTGGCGGCAGGGACGGGGATTTGGAGGTTAATTCTCCCAGTTCCTTGAGGAGTCTTATCAGGGAAATTTTACACCAGGAACTTGAGGGTAGAAGCAGCAGGTCGAGGTCTCGTGCCGATTCGCCCCATTATTTTAGGCGTTCTCGTTCTCGGCTGAGCCGTAGACGTTCAAGGTCCCGTTCGCGGAGTAGCATCAGTCGTAGTCGATCACCGAACGTGTCGAGGCGACGTAGAGAGAGACGGGAATATGTGCGAAAAAACCAGAATTCATCCAGCCCAGCTGATAATACACAGCGTCAGGTAGGCCTGGCTGGTCGTTCCCCGTGCGGGCCGGAAGCTCAGGTACTGACAGGTCCGGATTTGGAAGCGGCGCCAACAACGCAAAACAGTATGGACGATGTTTTGATACTTGACGATGCCGATTGTATGCCATTATCAGAGGACACA